CTAGACAGATAATCCTATTCTTTTCTACTTTGTGAAAAAAAAAAAAAAATTGTATATGTTATTTTATAGCATGCTACAAGCTTTCAGTCTGTGAGAGCTCACCATAAATTCACAAGTAGACCAAAACCAGGTTTGCGATGCCAACAGGTAACCATAGCAACAGCTTTAAGGTACCTTGGTGAAACAAAGCCACTGGTCATGACAAACTTTAAAAACAGCGTCAGTGTTTTTCCATGCTGGGGTTGCACCGCACAAATTGATGCTAATGTTGCTTAACACTGTGCTATAAAAAAATTTAAATAAAAAATGATGCATATATAGAATGTTTAGCTGAAATAGTCCAAATAAGGTTATTATTATTAATTTAAAGAGAAGCTTTGGTACATTTTAAAGCTCGTTTTTGTTACTGATCCATTATAAGTAAAACAAGTGAAATGGGTCATGTTTTCATCTAAATCAGGGACCGTGCACTCACAGAACAATCACATTAAGAATGTTTCTGTAAAATGGATGCATCCTGATGGAGATACAATGCCTGAACAACTATTTTACATTATTGTCAGGCACAAATAATATGTGCTGTGATAGACTCTGAGGACTGAGAGTAACTCTGAACGATGCGAGCGGTGGAAATGATGGAGAAAATTATGTTATTATCTGTAAAACCTGTGTTTGAGGGGCACAGAGTCCAAACTGTATGTAAGGTTTACTGCAGTATTATAATTTAGCTATACTACTTGGGTGATTTGATTTGAAAAATATTCTAATTAGTCTCTGTTTGACCAGAGCAGGAACCTTAAGTCCACACAGAGGCACTAATGTTGAGTCAGACATCACTTCAGTAAATTATATGATGCTTATTTTTATTTTCAGTAAGATTTTTATTAACTTTCAGTGATATGAGCTGGTACACTCTGGTGTTTGTGTCTACAGCTGCTTTCACCATTTTTAAATATAAGTGCATACTATCTTGCTTCATCCTGAACTTGTTGTTGGTGAACTTTGATTGTGTGCTGAAATGATTAAAAACAGAGGGGAATCTGCAAATGTGTCCCCCCCACACGCACACACACTAGAACTGTTTTGGAAAACCATAATTTGCCAAGCAATTAACGTTCTTCTTTTTTATTTTAATGTTGTAATGTGGTCAAACAGGTCTCTTGAAAATGAGTCCTCGTGACTCAGTGAGACGATGTGTGTGTGTGTGCAAGAGAAAAAACAACACATTACCATAGTTTAAATCTGATTTAGTATTTCATTGTTTCTAATTGTTTTTGCTTTTATATTTTTATTCCATGTGCTGTAAATATATCTTGCTACTTTTTATTTGATGATGTGATATTTTTGTTAAGCACTTTGGTAACAGTTTCTGTTTTAAATGTGCTCTATAAATAAATCTGACTTGACTTGACTTGACTAAATGAAATATGAAAACATGTAACAATTATTTTATTACTTTTATAAATGAAAATAACATTTCATGCATGCCAACATTTTTTAACAAAAAAAACGTTAAACTGTAAGCTCACATGTGATGAGAATGATTTCCACATAAGATTTTTAGCTCAAAATAAAAAATAATACTGTATTTTTATTTTTTTATGTTTTTGGAATATGTTGTTTTGGGCGGCACGGTGGCGCAGCTGGTAGAGCTGCTGCCTCTCAGCAAGCAGGTCGCCCCAGTTCAAATCCCAGCCTGGGGGCCTTTCTGGGTGGAGTTTGCATGTTATCCCCGTGCATGTGTGGGTTTCCTCCAGGTACTCTGGTTTCTTCCCATCAAAAACATGCATGTTAGGCTGATTGGTAACTCTAAATTGTCTCTAGGTGTGAGTGAGAGAGTGAATGGTCGTTTGTCTCTATGTGTCCCTGTGATGGACTGGAGACCTGTCCAGGGTGTCCCCCGCCTCTCCCACAGTGACTGCTGGATATGGGCACCAGTGACCCCCGTGACTGGAAAAAGAAGAAGCACGTAAAGATAATGGATGGATGGATGGATGGATGTTGTTTTGCTGTGTTATTGCCCCTTTTCGTTCTGCAGGTGAGCTGGAAATAGTCTGTGTTCATGCTGGGCTAGCCTTTGTTCACTGTCAGCTCCAGCTCAGCTGCTCCTCAGAGAGCTAATCACGTCCCGGCTTCATGGGGCAGATCTGAAACATTTTTTATTGGTCTGTTAGTCAGTACATGGTGACTGTCCAGACTATTTTCTCTGCTTGTTTCAAGTATTTGAACCTGCTGTTTTCAAGTTAAGCATTTGAAAAAAAAAAATCTAATACCTTCCCCTGTTTCCAGATCTCCATGTGTGTGACTTGGCTTCCCATGTAGATGTAATCCTGCTGGTACTCTATTTCTGTTCATCTACCTGTTTGAGTGAACTTCCAATCCTGGAATCGCCTCCTGCTTACTTCAAAGGAGAAGCAGCTCTGCCTCAGTCCCACCTGCCTGCTCCGTTCTCTCCACAATCACCTGTCATCTGTACTCATTTGTCCTGCATTTGCCTCATTCCCCTCTCCTGCACTTACATCTCCTGAAACTCCAGAATCCTCCTCGACAAGATGCTCCATCTGCTTCCACTCACTCCTATCCTCATTCCCTATCTGCACATGATCATTCTCTGTTCATCTCACCTGAATACTTCTAACTTTTGGATAACTTTTTTTAACTTCTTGGGTCTGAAGTTTTTGGTTGAAGCATTCTTGCATCCTGTGAAGCTTAATGATTAATGGCAGTTTTAGGCACTATTGTTTGCTAAGGTTGATTTAATGTGGAAGTTATTTTGGACTGGTGTGACTCAAAAAAGAAAACTACATTGCAGGTACAAAAACATTGAGGAAATGCAGGTAAAATGGTTTTATTTTGAACACCACATGCAAAATCTTCTGAAACATGCTGCACATGTAAGATAAGAGGATGATCAATAATACAGATTTTAAATTGGCATCACCATAAATGAAGGTCAAGTTTCTTTATTGTCATTCCCATCACATGTGGCTCATGAGGTGGAATGAAATTGTGCACTCAGGGTCCCAGTTACACATCAAAATAGCAAAAATATAAAAAACTACATAAAAAAAAGAATCAGTGTACTAAGATCTAAAATATATGCTAAACAGTAATAACATAATATATTACGGACTACAGTATTAAACAGCAGCCTGAACATGAGCCTATTGTTAGCAGATGGGTATGAATATAGCAGCTTATGGATAACAAATCAACAAATCCTTGTTATTATATGATTTTTTTTGCAGATCTCATTAGTCTAGATGGGAGCAGCATAGTAATGTGATTCAGCCGTGGGGTGAGCGGACCAAGCTAGCTTATCCTTATTTTCAGAACAGCAGGAAAACAAAAGTGTTTGCAAGAAGAATTTTCAGAGTTTCGCAAAGAGGCAATGGCCACCTCCAAAAAATTGGTTGCCCCCTCACTAGACGCCCCCCCCCCCGCCCCCCTGGCCTTGCGTATCTTGAGTTCCAACATAGTTCCATATGTATATTTATTATATGAAAAAATAAAAGTAAAACCTAAAATGGTCCCCCTGAATAGGACAACATGCAGCATGAGGATGCTGGTGGGTCCCAGGTGTTTATATTAATTTTTTTTATATATAAATGTAAATTTAGAAGAGGATGAACTTCAACACATTGAGCAGTGATGCTGTTTTTCTCATTAATATCAACTGCATTTGTCAAATAATTGATATATGGCAAACTTAAATTCTGTTCTGGTTTTTGTTTTTGGTGTACCCCATGAGTTTCAGTTGCATCCATATGGCCACCCAATTAAAATTTTTCTGGGCGCACCACTGGCCACAGCATTGTCAGCTGGAAACTCCAGATACTGCACAGTTACCGCTCATGTACAGTAGAAGGAGGAAAAGGTGGAAAGGAAGAAAAAACCCAGACTGGACAAACTGGAATCTTAAATAATTAGTTTTTTAATGCATTTATGACTATTATTATTATGACTTGCCATTAGAAAGTTATAGGATGCAAAGCATTGCAGTGCATGCTCAGAATTAAAAATGACAGCCCAAGTTACAACAAAAATGGTCATAACTCTGTCAGTTTTAGAGTTATCACGCTAATTTAGTGTAGACCAACATAGCCTACTGGTGCAACAAGTTTCCCAATCTTTCAGTTCAAAATCTGGGATGGCTGCCAGGCTAAATAGCCAAATGTCAATAAACTAGTCAGTTCTATAGTTATCAAGCTAGAATTTGTTGTGGTAGTAGAGAGAAATCCCCAATACTTACAGAATCCTAAAAGGTTGCAATAAATCCTCTGATCAAAATTCAAGATGGCCGTCAGAGCTTATTAGATGGGAAAACTAAATTTGACACATTATGGGCTACACTTCGGTGTGATTGTAGCTGACAGTAACCTCCAACTATCTAAACAGTTGGATAAGCTTTTTGTTTAAAATACAAAATCAATGGCACATAAATTCAAACATTTTCTATACAGTAATGTTCTTTAAAACTCTGGAGTCTGATTCAAGATGATGTTGACATCTCACATCAAAAGGCAGTCTCCTTCTCACTGAGTTATGAATATTATCTGTAACAGTTGGTATCTGTTTATTGTTGTTTATTTCTGTAAATCTTTTCAAGACCCGACTCCAGATGTTTCATGACCCCAAGTAGGCCCCCAACCCCAAATGTGGGAACAACTGTTCTCATAAACCAAAAGGTGGCCCCAGTTTAGCTGAACTCTCCTGATATCTGAATCTATCAGATAATTAAAGTGAATTGGTCGAATGAACAAAGCTAGATATAGTCACAGAAAGCTGCAGTGGATGATCAGAGTTCCCCTCCTGCTCTCAGAGGAAGGGGCTGCTCCTCTTAGGGCGGTGGGGGTTGTGGGTTTTCTGCATTTCAGTGGTTTTTTTTGTTTTACCTCTGGCTCGGACTGGCTGAGCTTCTGGTCCGTCACGTGGGCTCCATCTGCTGTCTCTCCTCAGAAGCAGCTGCCTCACCTCCACCCTGCAGGCGGAGAGGAGAGCTCACTGTCAGAGGCAGCCTGTACCCGACAGGACGTTGATTTTTCACCCTCGCCCTACTTCAACAGCACTCGGTGCTCCGGGATCTAAGGATTTAAAGATTGTTGGAGTGAATTTATTGTCAACAGGTTCCATCATGATGATGATGATGAGCAGGAAGATGACCAGCAGACACTTGTTGTGCTTCCTGCTGCTCTTCTTCCAGCTCTCCTGGGCTGAGGACACAAAGAAACATGAGAAGAAGACTGAGAACATGACATGTAAGAATCTATCTAACATCTATCTGTCTATCTATCTATCTATCTATCTATCTATCTATCTATCTATCTATCTATCTATCTATCTATCTATCTATCTATCTATCTATCTATCTATCTATCTATCTATCTATCTGTCTATCTATCTATCTATCTGTCTGTCTGTCTGTCTGTCTGTCTGTCTGTCTGTCTGTCTGTCTGTCTCTAGACACAGATCTGGGCTCTATAATAAAAATGTTTGTTTGTGGCATCTAATAAATTCTATTTCTGTCAAAATTAATGAAATATTTTTATAAGCCTGTTTCTAAACCCACTTAAATCAGGTCTACAGTGTGTACAAAGAGAAGACAGTATTATTTTATTATATCTGTAAAAAACAAACAAACAAAAAAAAAAACAGTCTTTAGTGTTTTAATCAATAATCAACTTGTTTTCTGAGTTTGATGTTTCTCACAATTATTGTTCTAAATTCCGGCAGGAAATATTTTGTTTACTACTGCCCACTTAGTCAAAATTTATTGTTTCTCGCTGTAGCTATAGAAGGTAAAACGATTGAGTACTTTACCTTTTGGGAAAAAAGAAAGAGTTGACTCCACATCAAGACTGGAACAATGATTAGGGCTTTTCTTTGTCAGGTTTACAGAAATCAGTGAAAAATCTACCGGTACTTTGTTATATTCCTAAAATAAAGGTAATTCCTCAAAATAATTTATCTTCAAAGTCTGAAAAAGATGGTATAGTGCATATACATTTGATCTGATTTAGATTTTTGTATTATCTTTATATTTAATTGCTTAATAACCCTATTTGTAAAAAAACTTAATTTGAAAATTAAGACGTCTGTTTTCTTCCTAAAGGGATTTGGAGCAAGGTTCAATCTGAAACTGTTCAGGTCTCTACAACAGATATGGATTCACGCTTTTAACAACAGATATAAACAAAATGACTAAACATGTTCTTTTTGATGTTATTATTCATTTATTCAAGTAAAAATGTTCAAGTAATTAAAAACAAATAGTTGAGACTGTAAACCCCTGAGCTCCCACTCTTGTCACACTAAATTTATTCTAGCTCGGACTTTTTGTACTTGTGGGAAGCAAAATGATTACTCATACTTTGATGAGAACATTAACATGACTTTGTCCTTGCCTCAGGTAATGGAGTTGAAGTGAGTTCTTCTGTGGGGAAGCTGTGGCTGAGTGGTTAGAGCAGTCGTCCTCCAATGGGAGAGTTGGGGGTTCGATTCCACCAGCAGTCACATGTTGAAGTGTCCCTGTGCAAGACACTGAACCCCTCATTGCCTCAGATGTGTGTCCCATCAGTGTATGGATGTGGTAAAGCTCTGACTGGTCTTTCTAGATATAGTAGAGTGCTATATGAATGGTTAAATGATCATGGCTTTACCACACAGATTGTGTTGTAATTAAAGCACTTTGAGTATCTTGATGAGCTAGAAAGGTGCTAGATAAGTACAGTCCATTTACCATTCTTTTGTTTAAAGTAACTGAAGGATTGGGCGGGAGATGGACTGACCATTAGAGACCTCGTTTGATAAAACAATGTACTGGTCCATCTAGAGTCCATCCCTCATTTATAGTCATACGATGTGGAACATGACCAAAAAAATGAATGTGTGTGGCTGAGCTCAGTCTTTAAGGGGTAGAGTGAGGAGCTCCATCATTCAGGGTGAGCTAAGAGTAAAGTCACTGGTCTTGATGGCAGACAGTTCTGGGCCCTTAGTCTCATGTTGATTAAGGTCTGTTTGATCAGGATTAAATGAAAGGGAAAATTTGTGTTTCAGTTTTTTCTGGAGCATCTACTGCTCGTTTTATATACATAT